GGAATTTTTACTTGGTTATGACCTTGCCAGCAAAGAGCCTGTAACACAGGGAACACATTCTGAAGAGACAGCTGAGACAATTGCACTGCTGAAGGAGTATGTGGGGCCATTAGTGGGAGCACATGTGGGTTCTTCCCCAGAAGTAAGTTCTGCACTGTGGTATCAATTTTGTTTGTCCTGTATAAAGTCAGTTGCAGAACACTTTCTATTGATAGTTCCGTGCCATAATGCTGTTTGTACAGTAGGTCCAAGCATTGTTACAGGCCCCTTCCTGAGAATCCATGTGCTTATTTAAGCTTATGTGTGTGTTCAGAAACAAGGAGCATTCTTCTGCAGAAATACATTAAGTTGGAAGTAATTAAAACACATTCAGATACTGAGGGGATATGACTAAGAAAAGTTTAACTGAATCAGTCTAGAACCAGCTTTGGTTGTTCAATTTGTTTCCCCAGAGGCACGTAGCAGAAGGAAGAAAAGAAACATAACTTGCAAAAATGGCATTTAAAACCGATACAAAGAGAAACAGAAAAAATGAAGGGCTTTGAAGTGGAACTAACCTTTCCTCTCCTACATAGTGAACATAAGTGAACATCCTATTAGAAGACCGTATTCAAACCTGAGTTTAACAAAGATGCGTTCTGGTGAAAAGGTCGTACGCCTGCCAGCCAGAGCACATTGCACCAGTGTTCCTTCCTGAGGGGTCAGAAATGTCATGAAATGTCACGCTGTGCTCTCTTGGGGGGGTGTGTGGCACGATGGGAGATGCCGCTTCTGAGTGCCAGCTTCTGTCCGCATTACGGGGAGCTGGGAATATGCCAGGCAGTGACTTGCCTTGGCGGGGGCTGCTCTGTCTAGCTGCAGGGTGACTGATGTAGTCAAGTGCCTCATGACAAGTGGTTTCTGTTGGTTGTGCTGTGAAGTGTGCTGTGATTCTTGTTCTGTAAGTTAAAGAGCTGCAGGTATGTGTCATCAGGCAGTGACGCTGTTGTGTCACTGCCAGTTGGAATCCTGCTGGTAGTAGGCCTGTTCCTAAGCTTGCTGTTGCTCTGATTTCCACCCACCCCAACCTAGAATGACTGAAAAGAGCAGGGCCTTTGAAATCAATGAAGTATGCTGGCAGGCTGCTATGATTTTCCTCTGTAAAGAACAGGAATAAATTCAGTAGCATTAAGGCAAACTTTTAATGTAAAAAATATGGAGGGTGACATCTTGGGCTGTGCTACATTTTCTCTAAGCAAATACCTAAGGTACAGAAACTGAAGAGGCCAACAAGTAGTGTCAAGATAAAAAAAGGTATAAAGACTATATAATGACAGTATAAACTTCACCAATCTTGATCTCAAAACAAAAATTTTTGGCAACAGCTTGGTGCAATTGCATAGACAGTCTGTGCGGGCAGTGGAGTTAAGGCTGATTTTTAGAATAACAGCACTAGAAAAAGTACTTCAAAAGATTTTTTTTTAAAAAGTCCTATCTCTATCAAACTGCAAGTTCCTATTAAAGGTTGAAGTATTCCTAGGTAAAATTATTTTCAAAGGACTTCTGATATCCCAGTCTTGCCTGTTGTATTTCCAGCTCTTAACACACTTGCTTGGGAATGGCTTTGGGAGTCAGTACACTGAGCAGTGAGCATTAAAGCCCCCCCTGCTTGCAGCCAAGTGGGGTGTTCTGGGAACTGAGACAAAAACCTGCCTGTTGGCAGCCCACAGCTGGGAAAGGGCATCTCTAAACAGCGCTGTGCTTACAGCACTCACCTCACCAGGCCAGTTGCAGTCCCTGTCCCAAAAGCACAGGCAAGTATCTCCTTCCTGAATGAATGCTCCAGGATATAGAACCCTCTATCTCTGGTCAGGGCCTGAAAATGGTTTTCTTTGCCTCCTTCCCAACTATACTTAAACATCAACTGGAATGATTAGATAAGAACCTCAGCATTTCTTACTAAGAGGCTGTTGTTCCCTATGTATGAAGAAGAGCTTGACAGCACAGGCAGTGCCCTGTGCCTCTCACTTCATGGGGTTGCAGGGACATTGGCTTTTAAACCAGTCAGCTCCTGGTAGGTGTCAGAGTTTGCTCAGTTTTAAAATACTTGTAGATTTTTTTTTTGCCCTGTTCAGTGGAGAGTTGCTGCTTTAGTATTGGCTGTGATGTCAATGCAAGTCCTGAGCCACAGCTAAGATTCAAGGACTTCCAAATAGATAAAAAAAATTTCATAAATAGCTGTACATCCAACCTGAAGATAAGTTTCTTAATCATGGGACAGTAGTAGTTTTTGTGAACAACCTAACGGGTAAGCTACACTTTTGCAGAAAGTGGATTAATGATGCTGTCAGTCAAGAAGCATGCTGAATTTGTGCTTGTTGCGGGGGGAACAGACACATGCATACTGGGTTCTGTAGCAGCTAATGCTACTTGCATTGTCGTAGCCGTGTGCTTCCATCTGCTCTGTGGTGGAAAAAGGCCACTCTGAAGAACCTTGTTAGGAACTGCTGCAGCTCACCCTCCATTCACATGGCAGCTTAAAAAGAAGCAAACAAAACCCTATGGAAACCATTTAAGTGTAACTGCCCAAAGGGCTTGTGGAAGATGCCAACAGAACCAACCAAAACAGGTCACACTCCTGTTCTAGTGGCACAATGGGGCAGGTATGTAAGACTACCTTCTTGGAAGAGTAGGAAGGAGCCTGCTAGACCTGAAGGAGAGGGAGCAGTGCAGGTCAAAGCACCACCACAAGCCTGTTCTCCCTGATCCCATGTGGCACGACTTTCTGCCAGGGAAGGACTTACTTTGGAAGTAGTTCCATGTGTGCAGGAAGAGAATGGGAAGGGCCTGGTAACCTGGCAGTGCTGGGCAGCAAGGGGAATGTCAGCCTGCAGAAGCCTCCATACTGAGGGTAAGCAAAATAACTTCATCCAGTGCTCTCTAATTAAGGCAGTAAGCCAAATCAACCATATAAAGGTTAATACTCCACTGGTATGATCCTTCCTCTAATTCTTGGCTAATGAAAGGGTAGCTGGAGATTAACATAGTATTTTCCTGTTAAGGTCTCCTGGAAGGTTAGTATTTGTTGCAAATACTCTCTTTGGTATCTCTAGAAATAGAACAAAGTTTTGTAGCAGTTTAAGTGTGGATACTATAAAAAAAGTAAAATCTACATTACAAACTACTACCCAGGAGTACTGGAATTTAAACACAGAAGAATATTGAACTTATGTTTGACTGTTTTCCTAGCAACAAGAAGTATAGAAGCCAGTTGTTTGTATATGTTGGGTTACTACTTGTTCAGCTACTTTGGAAGGTTATGGTGTTTACTGTTGTTTAAATATGCAAACTGAAATGTGACTACTAGGCTAGTACCAAATCAAGATGAAATGAAGATTTAAAAAGTAAATGGCAGACAGGATGCCTAAAGATGAAGCTTTCTCCACAGCAGGCTATAGCAAAAGGCTTAGAGAGCAGCACTGACCATTTCTCCCTCTGTTCGCACATTGCTATCACATGCAAAGAGCAGGGGTTAATTCAGCTAAGAACCTAGCCAGAGGAAGCATTGATAATATTAGGAATATTTGCAAGACATTCAGTGACTTATTCTGCTTTATTTTTTGTGCTTCTCAGACAAGATTTTCCAGAAATACTTGCTAGGTGTTCTTCCTTATTTTTTAAGAACTTGTGAAACATGGGTAGACTGCCACCTGACCAGCTGGCAGCATACCAGCCTTCCCAGGGCTGCTCTGCATGTACCTAGACTTTGAGCATTACAGAGTTTAAATTCTAATTCATAGCCTAACAGTAACTTTGGTACATGTGGACTGCAGTCAAAAAACTTTCTCTGTATATTTCTTTCCACCTCTTTCCTCATTTTCATCTACTGAAAAAAAAACCAAAAACACCAAACCCAAACCCCCAAGCTCTTCATTCAATTCCAGTACATAGAAGCAAGCCCCCAGAAGCAGAGGTTGCATTTGGGAGGTAGCAACAGAAGGTTTTGTATTGCTCTGAGGTGTTTGGTCTCCATAGCAGTATCATATATACCTGCCCAGGGGAAGCTTTCTGGCACACTCCATACCATGCCCTTACTGCTCTAAGGCAAGGTTACATAATTAAACCATCTTTCCCCTTGCTGAGTTTTACAGGAACTTGAATCCTTTATTCAAACTCCCTTAAAAAATCTACAAGTGTACTCTCAAACTGCCATTGGCCCATCACATGAAGTACAAAAGGCTTTCAGTTAAAATAAACACACCAAGACAAAGTTGGAGGGATGGGAGTGGTGATAAGTCCTTTCACCCCAGCATGGATTTAGGCACCTTGGAAGCTTCACTGCACATAGCAAGTTGTTGTAGCAAGACAGATATCACTACTGGAAACAACCCTTAAAGACACCTTTTGTCACCCCGGGAAGAAGGTTGGGACCCTAGTGTATCCCAGAGATATCTCCACGTTTGTCTGGTGATGAAATCAGTCCAGATGTGAAATCATATGCTCTTTCACAAATGTTACCAAGTTCCTTGGGATGGGTAGCTATGTGCCAACCCCCAAATGAAAATTTAAGCAGGTGCTGTCCAAGCATGGGTCAGACTTTTTAAAGCTAATGGCAAAAAGTGCTTGCACTAGAACAAACAACATAGCTTACAAGGGTCAAATCAATGCAGAGCTCTGGTGCAAATTTATCTTCTGACACAGCCAGAAAATCATTTAAGTCTATAGTTAAAGGCAATTTGTATAGTTTCCTTTGGGTAAGGCATGGGCTGGCCGCTTCCTGAATCCTCTCAGCTCAAAAGTTTGTATTTAAAGTATCAGCTGCCATGTTCAAAGGAACCTGTGTTACCAACAGCAACAATGACCTCTAAAGATCTGAAGATACTTACAAGCCAAACTGCAAGGCAGAGATATCAAGAGAGATGGCTTGAGGCCACATAGCACACTTGCATCAGTTGAATAACATGGAATGAAACAGCCTCAGAAGAAAAACAGCTTTTAAGTCCTTCCTGAAATCTCTCTTTTCAACAAAGGCATGAGGTCGTCTCCACACTTGGACTGGCAATCACTGGCCTGGAATCAAGGTAGATGCTGTTTGGAGGGTTCTCTCCATGAAGCTGTAAGGTATTCCGGGCTATTAGCTCCTTAGCCATCAATGTGAACACCTCTTCTATGTTTTGAGCTTCTTTTGCTGATGTCTCCAGTACAGCTAAGAGCCCATACTTCTCTGCCAGTGTGCATGCATCTTCAAACAGGACTTGGCGCTTACCCAGTGAATCTGATTTGTTCCCTTAAAAGAAGGCAGATAGATAGTTAATTCAATAATTTAGTCTGTAGATGCAATACAACAATTCCATTTTGTTAAATAGGTTTATGTTAGGAATAAGAGTTACTGGGAAAAAAACATATGAGCACACCAAAGCCACAAACAACGTGGATCAAAACTGCAGCTAATCATATGATGATATCAATGGAGTTACAATCCAACCAAAACCTAAAAACCTGTGTTCATCAAATTACTTGCTGTAGGTAGCAGTACCAGAGGATTATTTGGAGGTAACTGTTGATCCCTATTCTTGAATGTTTTTAAAAGTTACATATTATTTAATATTAAAAACAAAGAAATCTCATAGCTATAGCAATTGCACACAGGATACCAAAGTGATGTTGCATAAGCTTTATTCCTCACTCAACCTTCGGTGGGAGCCACATGTTACACCATTGTCAAGCTGCCTTAATGCATCTCAAAGTGCATGCTCAGCTCTGAAGATCTGGAACATTGTTAGTCTAAAAGAGATCTCCTAAAAAAAAAAAAACAAACCTAAACCCCAGGAAGAACCTGCTCAACTCTTAATCACGTTTTAATATAACTTATTTATACAAGTCAGTCATAAGATGATGTCAAAAAAATACAAAAATTCATATGTCCTACCTTAATGCCTGAAATATATGCTTAAGAACTTCCTGAATGTATAAACTTTTACTTCATGTAGTTTAGTCAAAATGTGTCAGAAGTCACAAAACACCTCAGATAATACCTTTGTATATTTAGGTAGTTGCAGCACATGTGGAATTATCAACGGTTCTGGTACATGCAGTACCTGGCTGAAGTCTACATTCACAATTTCAAGACAACCCTTCATCAAATTCAGATCTTGAATTTGAAGCGCATATATAAGGCAACTCCCCTCCCATTAAGTCCCTTTCAGTTTTGCTTAAAAGGAAAACAAAAAATTGCCCCCCCAAAAAATCACAAAACAAAGCCACCACCTTGCTTGAGGGTTATTTGCCTTCTTAAAAAGAGATCTCCTTTCCTCCTTCAGTTCAAGAGAGGAAAGTGAGACTGCTTAACCTCATGCTAGAGAGGTGTATAACATGACTACATGTAATTAAATTTACAAAGACTTCCTGCCCAAGTAAAGCAAACAGCACCAGCTCTGGAAGAAAGCACCAAACTGGATCCTTGACAAAAGCTTTCTTTTTACCAATTTCAGAACTTCTTTCTTAAAGAAATCAACAAAACCAACCACCACTGCCACCAGGCCCCACCACACACAGCTAGGTCTGGCTCTTCAGATTCATGAGAAGTTACAAAACCCCAAAGTTCAGTGATTCCCACCCCTCTGCCCCATACTCATTCCAGGCACTGGAGTTACATACAGGTGAGAATTTGTTGTTTGTTTCTTCAGAGGAAAAACCACCCCAGCAGAGGTGGTTGCTGTGCTGTGGGGCTCCACGCTGCCTGCCCTCAGGAGCCAGCCTAGGGCTGCTGCAGCTGCACTGTGCTGCTCTTGGCACAGTGCCACGGTGGAACAGGCAGACCCAGTGCAATGTAAACAAAGGCTCTGTTCTCTCATTTGCAGCTTCTTCCTTGTGGGAGGGAAGAGCAATAATAACCTGAAATCCAAAGAGAAAGAACCACACTGCTTCCTACCAGCTCCATTTTTAGCCATTTCTACTCCTTTCTTTCCTTAAGGGGCCAAGTGTCCTGAATGCTAGTGAAACACATGAGGAGGAAGACTGCAAGCAGACTACTTCATGCTCTGCAAAAGCCTGGACCCCATCTACTGTCTTACCTGACCTGAGTCCCATTACAGAGCAGTGCGCACGTGTATCAAAAGCGCAGAGAGGAAAGCTGAGAACAAAGTATTGTGTTGCTCTGTGTGTTCCCCTGCGCCTTAAATTATTGAGCTGCTAAATTCCTGTGCATCAGGAGTATACCATCAGACTTTCTGCACTTCTAACCTCAGTAAGGTTGTTTCTGCTAGCTAGATGAGCAGCAAGGTTGTTGCCTTATTCCAGAAGGAAAGGAATGGTCAGATCCTGTCAGGACCAGACTGTGACTTTCCTTATTGTTTTTTTAAGCTTAGGCCAAATTGATACACTTTCTGATCTCTTTTAATTAAAATGGTATTCTTCTTTAGTACATTATCTATAGATACTTAAGTATCTATACTTAAATAGTATAAGTAGTTTACTTAAACTTAGTAGGTAAGTAGTGGTGGGGGGCAAATGAGCAGGGTTATATAAATATAAAAGTTATATAACATATTGAAAACTAGATTCCTACCAATTAACATCATGACCAAGTTTGCAGCACCATACTTTTCAATTTCATGAATCCAGTGAGGAATGGATTCAAATGTGGACCTCCTAGTAAGGTCATAGGCAAGGATGGCCCCGTGGGCACTCCTGTAATAGGACTGGGTTATTGTCCGGAAGCGTTCTTGACCAGCTGTGTCCCACACTTGGATCTGTAAGAGAAAGGACAGAAGTTGTCAAGACCAGTGAAAGTTGCTTTCTAGGTGTTTGCCATCAGCATCTATGCTTGTGAAGCCTCTCATTCAGAAAGTAGCTAGACCTGTCCTGGCTCACTCCACTACACCACAGCGTGGCTCTGCCCTTTCTAGATCTGAAGAGGCATTTATATGCCTGTAAAGACAATCTACACAGACCAAAGAGAAAGCGGCAAGAGTAAACCCAGCTCTGCAAAGGGGCCGAGAAACCCAGTTTCAACAACTGTACTAAAAGACATAGAGCATTACAGCCTTTTAATAGGCAAGGAAGGAGAGATAAGAAGCCCTGATGCAGGGCTGGGCAGAGCAAAGCTGTAGAGAGGGCAAGCCTCTGAACTTTCATCTGCACACAGAGGCAAGTCCTTAGCTAACAATTTCTCCTGGTGTTTGTCTTGCCAGTCTTCGCTTTTCCCACTGAATCAAGCGCACATCAAAGCAGAGCCTTTGCAAACTACAGGGCTTTCCCTCCTCGATGTCCCAGCTCGGGCACCTCCTCCAAAGAACTCCCTGCAGGCAAAGCACGAGACCTCTCCGCAGGTGGATCCAGACAGCGAGTATGCACCCAGGTTAGGATGACTGCCTCCCCCTGAGCATCCTCCTGAAGGAAAGCTCCCCTCGGAAGCACCCCGGGTCAGAAGGGCAGGCAGCTTTTGCCTGCCGCCCTCAGCAGGGCCGACCCGGAGCCACCGTGCACCCCA